TTAGTCCTATGATACATTGTCCCTCGGATTATTTGATTGGACTGAATTTGTATCTTATGTTTGTTTAGTCATAGGGGTGAGCATGGTTCGGATTGGATCGGATTGGGGTAAAATTAGGACCAATCCGTTATCTACGGTTCTTGAAAAATTGGAACCAATCCAATCCGTTTAAATCATGGAACCAATCCGAACCAATCCATTTAAATACGGATTGGATCGGTTTAGGACCACGGATTCACATAATTAAATAACAAAAAAATATATATAACACTTTAATTTCATAAAAATATAAACATAGCGCTATATTAGTTCCACAATAGCAACATCTATTTCTATAATAGCGACATACTGTGCTAGAATTTAAACAACCATAAGAAAACTGGTTTCACCATAAGTATTTAGACCATTACAAATTAAAACTAAAAACTAACAAACAAAAGTAATAAAAGAAGATATTATACGGTTTTAGGTTTGAGTTTAGATTTTATATAGAATAAGAGAAGATACTATGGGGGAGGATGTATAATAAAAATATAGGCTATTTGTATACGGTCCGGATCGGTTCCAATCCGGAACCGTGGGATTCAATCCGGAACCAATCCGTGAACTACGGATTTTTAATTATTCAATCCGGAACCGAACCACGGATTCAAAAAACCAATCCATTTAATTTAACAACACTAAAATAAAAAAATTATAAGGCCATAGTTTTTAATTTATTATTTTTACTTAAATCCAAATTATAATTTATAATTTATATTTTTTTACTTAATATATAATTTTAAATTTATAATCTATAATTTTTAATTTTTAATTTAATAAGATGAACAAAATAAAAGTGCACTTTTTGTCTTTTTATGAAAAGATGTGCAGAAAAGTAGAGAGGTGATGTGATGAAAAAAAGATAAAAAGATGGATTATTTTGTAGTAGCCAAACTTGGCCTAAAAATTTTTAATTTATAAGGCCATAATTTTTAATTTATTATTTATAAATATTCAGAAGACTAGGAAAAAATGTAATAACAACACTAAAAAAATTTAATTTTTAAGGCCATAATTTTTAATTTATTATTTTTAATTAAATTTAATTTATAATTTATAAATATTCAAAAGACTATTTTACCTTTTTTCAATTGTTTACTAAGTAATAGCATGAAGGTAAAATGGACATTTTACACATTAATTCCATGTGATACCAATCTCCTGAAAATAATCACACCCTCTCCCCTAAGATTATTTAGTCCCTTATATGAAAAATATGAACTCCGGCCAGATTTCGAATTGGCCGGACTAAAGTTGTACCAAAACGATGGACATCCCCTCTCTAATGAATTCAAGTCCAAATAGTATTTAGTCCGCCCATAATCCCTCCAAACAAACACCCTAAAAAAGGATATAGAGGAGTATAAACATGAGGTACGAAGAGGGTTCATCATGTCATTAACATGAGTCAATTTTTTTATTTTTTTTATCACATGCCATTTTGAGTTCTACATTAATCCAACTTTTTAATCAAAATGGTTGTTTGAGATGATTTAAATGAAAATATTTTTTGACTTTTTATAAAAAAAATATGAAAAAAAAAAAGAGATGATATAATCTATATAAGTTCAATTATCTAATGCAAATAAGCTCTAATTTAGGATTCGTTTGGAAATGAGCTATTTTAATTATTATTTTTTACAAAAATACGTGTTAAAAAATAATAAGAGATGTAATAATTTGTAGTGATTTTTTTGAATAAAACTCTTAATTGCCAAATGTAACACACTTGTATATGGTTGTAATATTCTTAGACCACAATTTATTATTAAAAAATAATATTAATATTTTTGGGGAGGTGTAGACTGCCCAGAGCTCTAAGGACATCTCTAATGGAGGTGGGAAAAAAAAGAAAAGCTAGAGGCAATAAAGCTCAAGGACAGGTACCTTCAATAAAATCACAACACAAACACATTTGAGATTTGTGTGTGCACACTATACCACCTTGAACAAAGTCTTCAACCTCATTTTTTAAGCCAACATATGGGGTTTGCAAAAAATAAAATTCGAATAAAAAAATGAAAACATTGTTCTTCATGAGGTAAACACATTACCCATTTGCAGATTTCAACTGTCATAAACTGGAAGATAAATGTTATGGATCATGAAATTTTTTTTATAAAAACGATCATGAAAGATTTGTGGCCCTTAAATTACCTTGATTAGTGTATGGTGCTTTATTCTAAGTGTAATTCAAAAGTTACAAATCTTTCAAGATCATTTTCATGAAACTTTTCACGATACCGAACATTGCTGAAACTGAAAATGCCCTAATTGACAATTCCACCATGTTTCCACAATAGTCGCATTTATTAGATTATTATACCAAGAAGTCTATTATATATCACTTAAATATTTCAGTTATTATGTGGCATAGTGTAGTAAAACTTATATACTTCGTTTATTCATTAATGTAGCTAGGGATGACAACAGGGGTTAATGGGGGTGAATATTAATTCTTCATTTTCATTCCCCTATAATAAATTTTTTTCATTCCCCATAAGTATCACCCTTCCCATTTGTTAATGGGTTTGAATTTTTTCCAACCCACTTTAATCCTTATTTTTATTTTATTTTTATTTTTTATATTTAATGTTAACAACTACTTTTTTTTTTAAAGGTTCACAACAAAAACTAAATATACCTTCAATTTTTTTTCTCTTTTTTTTAACATATTTAATGTTAACAACTTTTTCTTTTTTTTATTTTATTTTATTTTTTTAAAGGTTCACAACAGAAACTAAATATACCTTCAATCTTTTTTCTTTCTTTTTTAATATATTTAATGTTAACAATTTTTTTTTTTTAAAGGTTTACAACAAAAGCTAAATATACCTTCAATCTTTTTTCTTTCTTTTTTAATATATTTTAATGTTAACAACTTCTTCTTTCTTTCTTTTTTTTTTTTTTAAGTTCACAACAAAAGCTAAATATGCCTTCAACTTTTTTTTTTCTTTTTTAATATATTTAATGTTAATAATTTTTTTTTTAAAGTTTTAGCTAAATATACCTTCAATCTTTTTTTTTTCTTTTTTAATATATTTAATGTTAACAACTTATTTTTTTTTTTTAAGGTTTACTACAAAAGCTAAATATACATTCAATCTTATTCTATTTTATTTGGTTCAACAACAAAATCAAATACGCATTAATTAATTAATTAATTTTTTTTTTAAATAATCAAATATATAATTTTGAGACAATCAAATAAGTTTTAGTAATTGAAAAAAAATGTGGAAGAACATGAAAGATTAAAAAAAAAATTACAACAATCTCTCTCACTCTCACTCTCACTCTCACTCTCTCCCCTACATGTCATAAGAACCTAATTACAATGTTATAAGAGTCTGTTTGAAGAAATAAAATGTGAAAGAACCTGTTTGAAGAAAATGTTATAAGACCCATATTAAATTGCATCAGGGCATAAACAATGAATTGTTTGTTGATCTCTTAGCCACGGACATTTTAGACATTAAACCATCTTTCTCTTAGCAAATTTGAACTATTCATTTTAATTTATCCAAAATCTAATTATATCTTTTAACAAATCTGAATCACTCATTTTAAGATATCTATGTCTTACCACACCCAATCCATCCTCCATCTTCTTCCTTTAGTCCTCCACGAATTTTGTTGCTTGTTACTTTTAAAAAATAAAAAATATTTTTTCAATTAAATTTTTACTAATTTCACAACGCCATCACCACTATTCTCACATTCACTATCACAGTACCATTACCATAGCCACTACCATCATCACTGCCACCATCACCTCACCACTATGTCACAATCTCTACTTTCAGCTTCGTTCCATCACCACCGCCACTAAATATAAAAAAATATATATTTAATTTTTTTTATAAAAAATATTTTTCATTAAAAAATATTTTCTATCTAAATAAATGAAGCATAACATTGGAAAACAAGTTGATTTTAGTTAAATCTATTTATAACTAAGAAAAATTCTTTTATTTTAAAAAAAATTATGTAGTAAGACTTTGTATCCCTTTTTTGTTTTTCTAGCGAATAAATTTTTGTACCCATGCTTTTTAATCAATCACGACTCATACTTGTTTTGATTCTCTACTATCTATAATTTTCTTATTTTCAAATACATTTATATATATATATATATATATATATGTTGAATAAATTGAGTAATAATATAAAACAAATAGATTCGTACTCGTTAATTGAAATTTCAGAACAAACATACCATTTTGAAAATTACAATACATAACAAAATAAAATAATAAAGAATAGCAAACCGAAACCTGTACTAGACAGTGTCCTTAATTTTTTTAAATAAATTTAAAAAATTCTAGATATGCATAAAATTTGACAAGAATAATGTGACAATTTTAATTAATGTGTATTCGATTTTATTGTTGAGCTAAATAAAATAAAATAAAATTGAATGTATATTTAGTTTTGGTTGTGAATCTTAAAAAAATAAATAAATAAATAAAAAAAAAAAAAACTTATGGGAAAATTAGTGGGTACTCATCCCCAACCCATCCCCTGTAGATATTTAAAGAATATCACTTACCCTACTCAATGGATAAGAAAAAAAAGAAAAAAACCCATGTATTTAGGTTGAGTCTCCATGGATACCTACAAGATAGGTTATCCATTGTCATCCCTAACGCTGTGTTTGGTTGGAGATTTAAGGAGAGATTTGAAAAAGGAAAAGGAAAAGTTAGGTGAAATATGAATAAAATATATTTACATTTTATATAGTTTCACACACCTTTTTTCTTTTCCTTTTTCTTTCTAAATCCATTCCTAAATCCCCCAACTAAACACACCATAAATGTAGCACAAAATGGATTTTCTTTCCAATTTCAAAGTATTCTTTTCGCTTAACACATAAGTTAATAAACTTTATTTTATAAAATTTGTTAATTTATATAATATTTTTTATTTTTTTATTTTTTTATATAATATTCATTGCGTGAATACACGTAAGACGAGAAATAAATACGGTGATAAATAACATTATCGTAGTTAAATGAAAACACAGAATTTTTAAATCCTGAGGTGAGCCATATCAAACCAGATTTGCACAAATGCCTTGACAATGAGGTCTTGGTACTCAATTGAATTCAATGAGAGGTAACAAGCAAGAAGCTCTTCCAAATCCTTGGACCCCCTGATGTTATTCTCCACAATCATTTCCACCATTGATTCCTTGAATTCTCTCTGTGGATCTAACGAGGACTTCACAATTAATGCAAAGCTCCTCTTTCTTCTTCGATCACACGCTTGAACTAGCAATTTCTTTTGAGCTTTTCTCGGAGAATTGGCTCTGAGCTTTGCTGCAGAATTTCGGATGATAACAGGACTAGTTTTACTCTGTTTTCGAGTTTTTTTAGAGTTTGTTGTTGTGTCTACGAATTTTACAGGCTTTGTCAAAATTGGAGGAAGCTCTAGCTCTGAAATTATGTCCAACCCATCAAGCTTGTCAAATTTCGCATTCTGATCATTGATGTCAATAATGATATCATCAGTAGTTGAAGAAGTGAATCTGCAACTGCGAGAGCTAGACCAGGATGCTAGTAGTCCTCCATTGAATGATGACTCTGAAGCAGCAGCATCAACGTTGTTGGACCCAAATTGATCAGTGGAACTTGTGGTTCGACGGCTGCAATGGGCTGAAACAGAGGAGGTGGCAAGTCTCTGAGATGGCTTGTAAAGGGTTTTTCTCTTGGGTGATGATTTTCTTGGTGAATTAGGAAAATGGGTGTCTGAGACTTTTGGGTTTGTCGGTGAGTTGTAGAATTTGGGTGTTGGAGAAAGGTGTGGCTTCTTTGATGTTGTTGTGATATTTGGTGATGGAAGCTTTTTCTTGATAGAATGAGAGGTACTATGGTTTCTGGTTCTGCTCATGTTTCTCAGCTTGTTAAACCAAGCATTGGGCAACATATATGATAGTCTAAACTTGTGATTGCCCATCAAAGAACTGCTCTCTCTCTCTCTCTCTCTCTCCCTGTCTGAGGTTGCTGGTTTGTGTTTGTTTCCCTCTATGTGATGAGTGAGAATTGAGAAGTGAGAAGTGAAAATGAATGAATAGATATGGAGAGGTATAATCCTAAAATGAAATATGGCATATTTACACATATTCATATCGGCAATGCTGTATCATAAAAAAATTTTCATGAAAATAATCATGAACACTTTGTAATTCTTAGATTACACTTAGAATAAAGCACCATATACTAATTAAAATAATTCAAAAAACATAACTCTTTCATGATCATTTTCATGAAAAATTTTTCATGATTCCTAACTTTTTCCTGTTCATATAGGCATGGTTGGGATGGCCTCATGATTATGAAAACAAAAAATAGAAACCCACACAAATTGCACATATATTTGTCCCAAAATGTGATATGTGGTTCAAGTTTAATTTTTGTATAGTGGGATTCATATTTAAAATATATAGTTTTTTAATAAAATAAAATAAAAATTAATGTAAAATTTTATGGGTACTTGGTATTTCTCCTATCATAAATATGGTGAAAAAGAAGTGGATCAAGAGGTTGGTTCCAACCAGAATGTTAGACATGCTAAGCCTCCGTTTGGCAAGAGCTTTTTCAGGCTTTTTTGGCTATTTTAGCCACAAAAAACAAAATAGACTATTTTAGCCATAACAAACAAAACATCACATCCAACCCATAATCATTACATTCTTCTCTCACAAAAAAACTCAAAAAAGCCAAAAAGCCAAAAAGCCCTTCCCAAACCAAGCTTTTAAGCCCAGGCTAAAATAGCCAAAAAAGCCAAAAAGCCAAAAAGCCAACCCACTTCCCAAACGGAGGCTAAGATTGTTTCTGTTATATGGTTGTAATAGCAAGTTTCTATTATATTGCTAGTGAAAAAAATTACTTTAGTCTCACTTTGATTAGGATGAAAATAGTAAGAATTAAAAGAAATAGGAAAAAAATAAATTTTGTCTAAGTTTGTTTAGTATGAAAGTGGTGAAAATGATAAGAAAATTAATTTTTTTATACAAAATTCATAATAACTTAGTAACTAAGTTTCTAATTTTTTGCAAAAAAATCTGAGAGGAAAAAAACAGAAAAAAAAAAAAAAAAAAAAAAAAAAAGCAGAAAAATATAAGAAATTTAAATTTGTTATAAAAGTAATTAATTAGAATTAGAATTCTTATTTTCTTGCAAAATTTGCATCATAATCAAATTCATACGAAAAAAATATATTTTCTTTTCTTTTTCTTTGTTTTTTGGATAAACTATGATCATAATAGTTGTACTTAACTCCTATCAAATCCTATTAGAAATAAGTTTTAGTAAAATCGTCGCTAAAAATAATTTTTTGTAATATTTTTTTACATATGTCATTAAAAATTAATAATTAGTTACTTTTTTTATCATGATTTTTATAATTATTGTTAAAACTTGTAATTAGTGACGATTTTATAACAAATTTTTTAAACTGTCTATGAAAATTACAAATTAGTAATTTTTTTGTAGCAATTTTTTTAAACTGTCGCTAAAACTTATAATTGGTGATTTTTTATAACAATTTTCAAATTATCGTTGAAAATTAACAATTAGTGACTTTTTTTAATAGTATTTGATAAAAAATATTATTAATTATTATAGGACTTATTGAACAATAAATCCACTTATTAAGATCTACATGAATCTTCCTTATTTTTTTACTTTATTTTTTACTATTTTACTTTTTATCATTTATCTATATTATTATTAAGTGAAGGTCTAAATAGGTTTATTAAACTCTTCTTCTTCTCAGGCCACGCGACAACTTTATGTCACGTGACAACTTTATATATGCTAAAATAAAAAAATTATTATATACAGAGTAAACAAGTTTTAAACCTAAAATTTTGAATTTTATTACAAATATACTTATCACTTAAACAATATACGTATTATGAAATTAAATATTTTATTATTAATTATTTGAATTATGTGTGTTACTGCTAATTTTTTTTTAATCAAACGCAGCCAATGAATTTATGAGCCTTTTCTTAATTTGACCAAACTTCCCGGAATGTAAGGAATTTCTGTTGGTTGGTTATGCATGTTTGCATGATCTGTCTTTGCCTTCGACAGTGTCTTTGTATGCCCTTTTTTCTTTTTTTTCTTTTTTTAAATTAAGTTTGGGAACTAAAACTTATCTATTTACATTTTTTTGAATGGATAGTTATATGTAGAGATTAAATTTATGTAGCGTGAATAAATTTGAAATATAAAATAATAATTTTAAATAATTAAATTTGAATTTGTAATATTATTTTTTTATTATAGAATTTTTAGCATTTTTGTTATATGGGAAATAACATTACAGTAGAGTAAGAAAACAAAAATTACAAAATTATGAAAAATAATAACATTTTAATTATTAAAATGTATAAATTTTAACACTAATTTATAAATTTTTTTTGAAAAAAGATTGGAAACTCTAAATTAAAAGCTTTAATAGTTTTAATTGGTATATAGATCTTATGTGATGTGATATTTTGATCTTAATTTTTTATTTTTTATATTATTAATGTTCTTTTAAAATTCTAAAATTAAAAAGATATACTTCCTCCGTCCCATAATATTAGTCCCTTATTCCATTTTTCATTGTCCTAAAATATTAGTCCCTCTTCAAAAATCAAGTACAAAAATAATATAAAATTTTCATTTTGTCATTCTTTTAAATTCATAAATAATATAAAAAGTACAATTATGACATTGATATTTCTAAAAATGTGTACTATCAAAGGTTAATTTTGAAAAATTAACTTTTTAAAAGTACAATAATTATACTATCAAAAAAAGTTAAATTTCTCAAAAGGAACCATTATTTTGGGACAGAAGGAGTATTATTTTTGTTATTTTTTTAGGTACCCCACTTTCATGTTGTTATTTCCCTTTTGTTATACAGTGCCTAGCAATTTCTTTTGAGTTGAGCTGGGTTGAATAGGCAATAATTTCATCTATTAGGGACCCACCAGAGCACTACCTGGTCATAGTATGTCATGTCAATGCTCATTTCCCAAATGAAAAAAGATTGAGCGCTTTAGAGTGAGAATTTTATGAGAAGTTTTATATTAGATGGGGTCATTTGTAATGTGATTTATGTGTATAAATTTTTTTTTCAAATTTATGGGTCAACCTTGAGGGATATTCGACGGTTTGCTACAATTTTTAGGAAGTAATTATAATTTATTTTAATTTGATAATTTACATCAGATCATTTGATATAATTTTTGTTTATAATTTATTAAGTAGAAATAATTTAAATAAATTTTTGAAAAACATATTATTTAGAAACTGAAAAATAGATATTTTTAACTTTTATTTTTTGATTATTAACTTTTCAATTTAAAAAAACTTCACCAAACAAAACATTCTTAGCCTCCGTTTGGGAAGTGGGTTGGCTTTTTGACTTTTTGGCTTTTTTGACTATTTTAGCCTGGGCTTAAAAGCTTGGTTTGGGAAGGGTTTTTTGACTTTTTGACTTTTTTGAGTTTTTTTGTGAGAGAAGAATGTAATGATTATGGGTTGGATGTGATGCTTTATTTGTTATGGCTAAAATAGCCAAAAAAACCTGTAAACCCACTTGCCAAACACAGGCTAGAAAATTATATTGGAACTCATGCATTAAAATTAAGTCCTCGTTTAGTTTTTATTTTGGGATTAAAAAAATACAAAAAGACAATATAGACTATATAAGTTAATAAAATAAAATATCACATCTAAACATAATCATTATATTTTTTTCTCACATAAATCAAAAAACTCCAAAAACACAAATTAAACGAGCCTAAAAAAGTCAGACTAAAAAAGTCTCAACACAAAAAAGTGAGCTACAGTAATCAATACCAAACGAAGCTTAAATGCATTAGTAACAAAACCAAAATCATATGAGAAACCAGAAACCAATTAGTAAACTAAAATTATAAAAATAAAAAATATATATTATCGATATAATTGCCCCAATAATAAAAGCTAAACAATAATAATCAGACTAAAGTAACAAAGAGATTAATTTGACCTAATCAGATTGCAAAAGGTTGAATAGGAAAGAAAAGCTATATACTCATGAGCAACAGAGCATAGTGAGACCCTCCTACTTGGGCCATAGCCTAGAGACCTATTTCAAAAGGCCCAACAACCACCATTGACCCACTTCAGCTATGGCTTTTTTAGCCTTTTTGACTATTTAACCAAAAAAAAAAAGGGTTTGGCTTACAGCTCATTTTTTGATTGCCAAATCACCTTTTTTTGAATATTTTTTACTTGTCTAACGTATCGTTTGGAAAGAAGGTTTTTAGGTTTTTTTTAGTTATTTTAGCCACAAAAAATAAAATAGACTATTTTAACCACAACAAACAACATATCACATCAAATTAGGGGTGCAACTTGGACGGGCTCAACCCGAGCAACCCGAACCCAACTCAAATTTTTTTAGGGCTTGGACAAAATATTTTCAAATTCGGTACGGGCTTGGGCAAAAATTCAGAAACTCAAATTAAATTTGGACGGGCTTGGGCAAAGACATCAAGCAACCCGAAACCCGAATTATATATGAGAGGGAGATTAATGATATGGAATTCGGCCGGACAGATTTGGGCCGGACAGAGTTGTGCCAGACAGATTTGGGCCGAACAGGTGTTGGGCCAAGTTGTGTGGCCCGACCTTGAAGGAAGCTGCTCGGTTAAGGCAGCGTGTGGATTGACCGAGCTACAAGGATTCGTGGTTACGAAGCCAGTCAGGTGAAAAGTCTAGCGTCAGGAAAGGCAAGGTTGGACCGAGGTACCTGTTTGCTCGGCAGGTAGGTCGACCGCAGACAAGCGTGAGTTGTCCCGAGCTCGGCTTTGCCGAGATGCCGACGAGTCCGGTCCTCATTTGAGCTTAGCTGTTGGAGTACTTGGGCATGAAGCGCAGCATGGCAGACGATGGCCGAGATGGTACTGCCCGGCTGCCGAGCTCCCAGGAGAATGGGCAGGCAATTGGGTTAGGTGGTGCTCAGCAAGGTTTATGCTGACGGATGGGATAGCAGTGCCACGTGTTGAGAGGTCACTGGGAGTAGATTTGGGGCGCAGAAGGT